ATTTAAAATTATTAAAGCTTTAAATAATTTCGCTTATAAGTTAAAACTTTTAACTTTTATAAATTTTTAATTTTTTTTTATATAGCTATTATATCTTAATAATAGCGATTTATTATTAAAATAAAATTAAATATTATTATTATTTATTATTATTAATAAATAAAATAAAATCTAGAATATTAAAGAAATAAAATTATTTAAAATAGATAAATTAAAAAATAATTCTTTAACTAGTAAGAGAAGATATTTAATATATAAAATTAAATATAAAGATCTTAATAGCGAGAATTTTTTTTAATAATTATTTATAAATATAATAGAATATTCGAATCTAATAGCGAATTTCTATTATTACTATCTTAAGATCGTTAATCTTTATTTATTATTTAAAGTTCTTTTAAAATAATTTTCTTTATTAACGCTATTAATTTATAATAACTATATTATTTTATAAAAAAAATCTTAAACTCGTAATAAAATACTAAGTTAATATATTTAAAAGTATTACTTTATATATATCTAGATATACTTTTTATAAGATAAAGTTTATTATATAATTATCGTTATTAAAGTTTTAAATTAAAGAGAGAGATAATATTATAATTTGCTTTATATTATTTATATTATAGCCTAATTAGGCTTAGCGTATTAAGGCCTTTCGGCCTTTCTATTCTACTCTGAAACCCACACTTGTAATTATTCTACATAGATAGTATTCTCTTCACACTACAATAAAGAGTTATCACACACACCATTGAGTCCCTGACATGCGATCAGCTTTATACCGAGACATGCGACCTGCTCGAAGCCCATTAGATTGATTCAAAAGCAGATATATCGGTCGAGTACGTCCAGGCGTGGCTGCTGTTGGCCCACTATGAGCTTCTGCGTGTGGGCGAGTATCAGGCTATGTTGACGGCAGGCCGCTGCCTCCGACTTGTGCTTATGGCGCGTCTTTCCGACATCGATTCCCTCGGGCCCGACCGTGTCAATTGTCCACAGGCTTCCCCTGTCCTCATCAATTGCGAATCCGTCCGCGGGGACACTTTTTCGATCCTGGAGGAGCAGAGACGGGTGTTCTGGGTCAGCTTTTGCCTGGACCGCTGTCTCTGCCTGCGCAACGAGTACCCCCTCACGCTGCAAGAAGACATGGTAAGTGCCTCCCCTTGGCATTCGAGCGGAATCCGGATAGAAGTGAAACCCTCCGTCGCTGACCAAAACCCCTAATCTGTAGATCTGTGTCCGCCTCCCCGCTCCCGAAGCCAACTTCCAAAACAATCAATCCATCCGCACCACTTTCCTACCAGAAGCCATATCAGCCCCGCAAAACACCCCACCCCTATCCAGCTTCGCCGAATGCATCCTCGCCGTAACCCTCCACGGCCACTGCCTAGCCCTCCAACGCTCCCCCCTTTCCCCCGACCCCATTACAAACCCCGTCGATACCAACCCACCCTTCTGGTCGCAACGAAAACACCTCGTCCTAGCCGTTGAAACCCGCCTCCGCGTGCTCGGCACCTCGCACGGGTCCCGGCCCCTCGACCCCATGCTCCTGTTCGCCCACATACCCACGCCCCTAATCCCCCCCACCCCCGGCATCTAAGGCCTATATAGAGGTCTACAGACTGTGCAACGCTATGAATAGTCACATAACGATGGCGGCCATATGGATGCAAACCTTCCGGCCATTATTCTTATTCTGCTCCCAGACCTCCCGGCTCACGTGCGCACCTGCTCCACAGACTTGACATCCGATGAGACATCCATTCCCTCCTCAGGTGTGCTATCGTTCTTGAGCTCCTTTTGCCGCTTGACCTCTTTGAGGTTCGTAAAGCCCATTTCCCATGCAACAAGCATGACGCTGCCGAAAACGGCAATGCCGAGATACATGGTCCGATCAATCGCCTTGCCATAGGCCACCAGGACGGCGGCCAGTTCAGAGGGAGTCAGGCCCGCGGCGCGGATGTTGCGGGTCCCAGCCTCGATGATGACCTCGGGGCTGGGCCCGATGAGCGCCGCTCGCTGCGTCAGTTCTTTGCGCAGGCTGTTGTTGAAGATGGCGTTGGCGACGACGACCCAAACGGCGGCGCCCAAGTTCTGGGCGAATATGACGATCGCGATGGCCGTGGGGATCTGTTTCAGGGGGACGAGGTTTTGGACGGCGATGTATGACTAAATGTGTAGGGAGATGTCAGATTTGGAGCACGACCCGGCAGTTGATTCGAAGCAACTTACACCTGAATTTCCCACGCCGCTACCGATGCCGTAGACGCATAAGTAGCCGAACCATTGCCCGAAGGTAGTTGTGGGGCTCAGCATTGACATCAGTCCGTAGCCAATGGTTGCGATGGCACTACCCGCTAGAATCCAGGGTAGATAGTAGCCCGTGACTTGTATCAAGCCGCCGGTGACGAAGGTAAATATGACCAGGCCCAGTGTTACCGGAAGCAAATGCACGCCGCTCATCAGAGCCGAATTATTGTTGATGGTCTGGAAATATATGGCCAGGTAAAAGTCGCCGATGAGAACGCCGCCGAGGGAAAAGAATTGCGTCAGTGATGCTGATCGGACGACAGGGCTCCTAAGAAAGGCAAACGGGATCATTGCGCCGTCCCCTTCTCGGTGTTCCCAGAATAAAAAGAGCGCAAAGACAGCAGCGGCTCCGCATAGTAGGCCAATGACGACCGAGCTGTCCCAGGCATACTGGTTTCCGCCATACTCGAGGGCCAACAAAAGCATAATCGCAGCCGGGCTAACGAGGGCAAATCCGACCAGGTCTAGCGACTTGACGGCGGTGCCGAGAACGTGGCGCCAGGGAGGCTTGACAGTTGCCTCTGGCACTTTATTGAAGATGAGGCAGAGGCCAACGACAGCGCCGATGGGTAGGTTGACGTAGAAACACCATCTCCATGAGACGCGGGTTGTGAAAGCACCTCCAACGATGGGGCCGCACGCAAGACCAAGCTGGCCAATACCTATGATGATTGCTTGAAACAACGGCCGCCGCTCCTTTGGGATGCAATTGGCGACGGTGGTAAGACAGCCAGTAAACAGACCGGAAGAACCAAGGCCGGCGATGGCGCGGCCGATAATGAACATAGGTGACGATTGTGCCGCACCGCATATGGCCGAACCCAGCTCAAAGACGAAGAAGAAGGCGAGAAAGGTCCACTGGGGAAAATTTAGGCTCAGTCAAGCGAGCGGACTAAAGGGGCGGCAGTCGACATACCTTGAGGGAGAAATAGGTGTAGATCTTGCCACTCAGTGGCTGAAAGGCAGCGCTTGCCAGTTGATAGGCACCCGAGTACCAGCCGATGTCTATCAAGGCGTCGAATTCGGTAGTAATGGCGGGCGTTGCGGTGGAAATGATGGCCAGGTCGAGGAAAAGGAGATAGTATGCCATGGTGGCGCCCGCCAGGATCGAGGCAAGCTTGAGGCCTGTAGGATAGTCGTAACGGTGCTCGCCATCGTTGGCGGAATCTTGGCCTGAAGCATTCTCATTCTTCACGACGCTCTCAACATCTTGTCCAGGAGGAGTATGGGAAGAGTCCGAGGTGGGGGAATCGACTACGGCCTCGACGGGGAACGCAGCCCGGTCTGGCTCCATCTTTGGGCGGGTGGGGAAGAGAAAGATTGAAGCAAGGTGGAAGAATGATTGAAGATAGGAGGAGGAGGAGGAGGAGGAGGAGGAGGTGGGAAAAGGTTGGGGTGGGTTTTGTAAAGTAGGTAGAAGAGGTACTTAGCCGTCGTTCAAGCGGATTAATATTGAAAGGACAGAAATGATCGCCTTATCCACTCACTCGGGTGACGGGTCTCCCGCTGTCCCGGTGATTGGCGCCATGGGAGCGATTGGTCCACAATTGGAGCTATGGCGATCTGTCGTATTCGTTTTGATGTGACGTAGGCCTTAGGGCCTACCTTATGCACCTTATTCCCCCATTCAGCCCGGGAGGGGGACTGTCGTCCAATCAGAGAGGATCGGATGATTGTTGGGCCGACCGCCTCTTTGTCCGTCCGCGGCATCACCCGAAAATGGAAACGAATAATTTAAATTAGGGCTGTTCCCCCTAGTAAGCCGCAGACTTATATCCTATCCGCTGTGCAATTCACGGGCCGCGACCAAGCGGAATTGTCGATTCGGGTACTTATGTCATCAGGTCTTTAGGGTAACAATAAAATATAGTTTGAGCTAATCAATATCTGGAGGCCCAATTGGTCGCGTATCTGGGACTGACAAGACCGATTTATTATTACTACATGGAGATACGCGATAACAACGTCTTGGCTACACTGCACGACTAGGCCTACGTGCTCTACATACTATGGAGCAGGTCTCAAGCGCATCTCAGCTCCTATCTCCATCCGGACGGCCAGGGCGGATTGCTATACCGGACTTTCGGACTTGGTGACCGCGGCAAGTCCGCCTACGCAGATACTCAGACACAATAATACGGGCGCTGCGTCAGACCGGATCGAGAGGCATAGTCGTACCTGAGAATCGAAACTCCTAACTCCAAGAACTCCTAAATCCAGCCCCGTTGCCTCGGCTAAGTTCCGCTGATTGTTATCGCAGCGCCGATGCTACGCGCTATGCGGTCCAACACGTGCAAGCAACCACGACCCTGCTTTATTAATGTCCGCCAGATTGTTAGCGAGGCTGACAGCTATGTCCCAGTACTTGGTAAAGGCTGGGCTGAATGTGAATCTACATTACTACGGCAAGACTCTTTCTCTCTGCCGCTCTTGCATCCACCTGCATACGGCTTCAACAGTCTTTGCAGACTCTTATAGACCGTCTTTCGAGATCTTCGATCTAGACAGGCATTAACACAGCTTAAGCACTATACCCCTTCGCTCGGCAACGCACCTGGCTTGCAAAGAAACGAGACCAGACACATTCAACAACGCGGCATTTCAATACAAATTCAGCAACCAATAACACTTCATTTCTCTCTCTGTCTCGGTCTATCCTGATTTCAGCCTGTACGCCTAAAGCCATAATGACAGGTAATAAGCTACAGATCAAGCCCGACAATGACTCTCGCGAGTCCACAGTCTTCCTCTTCGGACCCCATGTCGCCACCTTCACAAAGCAATCGATGGAGACGCTGATACGGCCAATATCTCAAGGCCCTTTCCGAGACTGGATCCTAGATACCATATCCGGTTTACCAACCTATTTGAATGGCTTGAATTCCATAAGGCCCGAGGTCGCCCGCGCGGTCCCGGGTTCCAGCCAGCTCGCTGACCTGGACTCGTGGCTTCGACACGGGGCAACAGACATAACCTCCGAATCCACCCTTCCCAGCATTATCGTTGGACCCTTGGTGGTGCTAATACAGCTCACGCAGTACTGGCACTATCTTGAGCTCCTCCACCAAGGACAGCCACCGGCAGATTTGCAGGCTAGCGTGGTCGCAGCCTCAAAGAGCGACAGCAAATTTGAAACGCTGGGCTTCTGCTTTGGGCTGCTGGGAGCGCTGTCCGTTGCCAGCGCCAGCAACCGTCAGGACTTTCAGAAGTACGGGGCCACGGCGGTCCGGCTAGCCATGCTCATAGGCGCTCTGGTCGACGCGCGAGAGGTCTGGGACAAGACTTCGGGCAAAGGCGGTTCAATCTCTTTCGCAATAGCATGGCTTGATTCAAAACAGGCCAGCGAAGTGAGGCGAATTATCGACGCCCGTTCTCCTGATGCCTATATCGCTGTCCTCTACGACGAGGCGCGAGCGACGGTGACGACATCCGAGTCCACGGTTCCCCTTCTAGTGAAGCAGCTCCGCGCTGCTGGTGCCATTGTAGCTGAGATTGGTATCAAGGGCCGTATCCATAGCCCTGACGCCGATCGGAAGATCGACACCGATGCCCTTGTCCAATTTTGCAGCTCCATGCCTGATCTGCAGTACGCCGTCACTGCAAATCTCGCTTTGCCTACCTACGACAACCGCGGCAACGGGGATCTCGTATCCTCCAAACACCAAGAGAGCATGACCGAGATGGTTCTACGTTCCATCCTAGTCGACCAGTGCAACTGGTAAGGAACCTTTTCTGCTGCAGCCACCAAGGCGAAAAAGCCCTTTGTCGTGACTTTTGGCATGGAGCGCTGTGTGCCACCGACTCTGAAACGGGATCTGGACACTCGACAAGTGCACTTTGCAGATCTGGCCTTAGAAAAGGAGACGGGGGTGGATGTGGATATATCGCAGCTCCCCGCTGGCGTGTTGAACATGCAGCCTACGCCCGCAGAAGCTGCAGCAGGATCTGAACATGATCTCTCTTCCAATCTCGCTGTTGCACTTGAGAGCGATAAATACAGCGTTGCTGTCGTTGGTATGTCCGTCAAGACCGCCGGCGCCGATGACCTGGCCGAGTATGCCGAAATGCTCAGAAGTGGACAGTCCCAGCACGTGCCTATCACTAGGGACCGATTGATGCACGATATGTTATTCCGCGAAGCACCAGATAGCGACCCCAAGCGCCAGTATTATGGGTGCTTCGTTCGCGACTCGGATGCTTTTGACCACAAATTCTTCAAGCGCAGCCCGCGCGAGTCAACCGCCATGGACCCGCAGAGCCGTCTAGTGCTGGAGGCAGCCTACCAGGCGGTGGAGCAGTCAGGCTACTTTTCGGAGCTAGATCATGGACATGGACTTGGGCAAGGGACCGACAGCGACAGCACCAACATGAACGGTAAGATGCATGTTGGCGTGTATCTAGGTTCCTGCGGCGTCGATTACGAGCACAACATTAGCTGTCACGAACCAAATGCTTTCACACCGACTGGGGCGCTAAAGAGCTTCGCCACTGGAAGGGTATCGCACCACTTTGGCTGGACTGGTCCATGCATGACATTCGATACAGCATGCTCGTCATCAACGGTTGCTATACACACGGCGTGTCGAAATCTTCTGTCCGGTGAATGCAGCGCGGCATTAGCGGGTGGATCGAACACCATCACGAACATGATGTGGTTTCAAAATCTCGCTGCTGGCAGCTTTGTGAGCCCAAGCGGACAATGTAAGCCGTTCGATGACAGTGCTGATGGATATTGTCGTGCTGAAGGTCTGGGCTTTGTCTTTCTCAAGAGGTTGTCGGACGCTATCCGAGATGGCAACCCCGTTCTCGCTGTGATTCCCAGCATAGCCGTCTACCAGAACATGAACAGCACGCCGCTATTTGTGCCTAACGCTCCGTCGCTTTCACGACTATTCACGGACGTATTACGCTCGGCCAAGGTCCCGGCGCGGGATATTTCCCTGGTCGAGGCACATGGTACAGGCACTCCGGTTGGAGATCCAGCCGAATACGAAAGCATTCGCACTGCGCTTGGAGGCCCTGCCTCTGGCCGCTTAAAGAACCTTCCCATCGGATCTGTGAAAGGCCATATAGGTCATACGGAAGGCGCATCCGGCGTGCTGGCGCTAATCAAGGTCATCATGATGATGCGGGGCGCCTTTATTCCGCCTCAGGCCAGCTTCAATAAGATGAATCACGGCATCGACGTGCGGGCTGATGATATGATGGAAGTGGTCACCAAATTGCGGCCCTGGGAGGAGGATCACAAAATGGCTCTGATCAACAATTATGGCGCTTGCGGGTCTAATGCCAGCTCAATTGTCGCGCAACCACCCAAGTCTCCGAGACCGAGCATGGCCGTCGAAGAGACTTCACAATATCCTTTCTGGATCCCAGGCCTCGACGCTCGGGCCATCTCTGGGTACGCTGCTAAGCTATCCTCTTATTGCCGTTCATTGCCTCAAGAATCCAGCACGCTAGCGGATATCTCATACGTTCTGAACCGGCAATCCAATCGTGGGTTGGCGCAGAGCTTCATTTTCAGCTGCCGCTCGATGCCTGAGTTTCAGGAGAAGTTGGCCCAGGTGGCCTCTGCGCCGGAGAAGGACTCGGCTCTACGAGCAGGAGTCACACCGGCCAAGGCTAGCAGACCCGTCATTTTGTGCTTCGGTGGCCAGGTCTCGCTTTTCGTCGGGCTTGACCGTAAGCTATACGATAGCGTAACTATGCTTCGTCTGCACCTCGATGAGTGCGATCGAATGATAACGTTTCTTGGTCTGGGATCCATCTACCCCGACATATTCTCGCAGCAGCCTATCCGAGATCCGATCAAGCTGCAGACCGTGCTATTTGCTATGCAGTACTCATGTGCTAAGACTTGGATGGACTGTGGGCTTGAGACCAAGGTCGTGGCCGTTGTAGGCCATAGCTTTGGGGAGATTACAGCGCTGTGCGTGGCTGGCTCTCTCAGCCTCCGGGACACGGTTCGACTCGTGGCAGCGAGGGCCAAGCTGGTGCGCGATTCCTGGGGAACCGATCCTGGAGCGATGGTCGCGGTAGAAGCCGATCTGGATCTAGTGGAGAGTCTTCTGCAGGAAGTCAATCGGTCGGCCGGCCGGAATGGCTCCGTCAATATCGCATGCTATAACGGACCGCGCAGCTTCACCCTTGCTGGATCTACTGCCGCTGTTGACGCCCTGCAGCAAACTATGGTTTCGTCTGCCAAGTTCTCAAGCACCAAGAACAAGCGTCTCAGCGTGACCAATGCCTTTCATTCAGCCCTGTTCGAGAAGCTCGTTGCTGGCCTAGGGCAGGTTGGCAAAGGGCTTACTTTCCACAAGCCAGTCATCCCTGTGGAACGCGCAACTCAAGAGAGCAATGAGCTGTTGGACTGGACGTTCGTTCCTCAACATATGCGTCAGCCGGTCTTCTTCAACCATGCTGTGCAGCGTCTCGCCAAACGCCATCCGCAAGCTGTGTTCCTGGAGGCTCGTTCCAATTCCACCATCACTGTCATGGCAGCCCGTGCCCTCGCCCAGAGCAATGTCGCGACTCCAGAGCACTACTTCCAAGCCGTCTCGATTACCAATACCAAGGGATTTGACGGGCTGACAGACGCCACCGTTGCGCTCTGGAAGCAGGGATTGCGCATAGCGTTCTGGGCCCACCACCAGCAACAGACACTCCAGTATGCGTCTTTGCTTCTGCCCCCATACCAATTTGACAAGTCACCCGCATCGCGTCATTGGTTGCCAATGAAATCACCGGCTGAGAAGGTTCGAAAGGCTGCTGAGGCGCTTGTAAAAGAAAGAGGTGAGGTTTGGAGCAAGCAGCAGGCCGGAGCCCTCGGAACCAAGCCGCTCGCCCTGTGGGACTTTGTCGGATACCAAGACAAGAAACAGAAAACAGCCCGTTTCCGCATCAACACGCAGTCGGATAAATATAAGGGTTTCGTTCTCGGCAATGTCATTGCGGAGACGGCACCTATTTGCCCTGGGACAGCTGAATGCGACATGATCATCGAAGCTTTATACAGTCTGCATCCGGACTGGAAGGCCGAAGGTATGCAACCGGTCGTTCGTGATCTGATCAACCACATGCCCATCTGCGAAGATCAATCCCGCGCCTATTACATTGAATTATCCGCGCTTGACAAAGAGATGATGCAGTGGAGCGGGCAAGTCTTTAGTGTCGAGAAGGACGCGGCGGTTGAAAAGCCTCAAACACATGCCAATACGCGCGTTTCCATGCGTTCATCTACAGACCCGGCTTATATGCAAGAGTTCGCGCAATTTGAACGCCTCATCAGCCACACACGATGTCAAGAAAATCTGGATCTTAGCCTGGATAAGGACGGGGTCGAATCGCTGCAAGGACGTCAAGTGTACCGCGCATTCAGTCCTGTTGTCGACTACAGTGACATCTACCGAGGCGTTAGATACGTCGTCGGCCGTGGCGGTGAGTGTGCTGGGCGTGTGCAGCTAGACCGACAGCATCGACGAGCCGATACTTGGCTCGACGTGCCATTGAGCGACTCATTCAGCCAGGTCGGCGGCTTGTGGGTGAATGCCATGACCGATGTTCCATCGGGAGAAATGTACATTGCCAATGGGTGCGAGCTGTCAATGCGCTCGCCCAAGCATACCGTCGCGGGCCGAACCGAAACTGCATGTGTACGCTCGACATTTGCCCCAAGGCGATAAAATGTTCGTGACCGACCTCGTTGTTTTCGATGCTACAACGAGACAACTCGTCGAGGTCATGCTGGGCGTGCAGTATGGGCGTGTAGCCAAGGCATCCATGAGTAAGATGCTGGCTCGAATGACGAAAGATGAATCAGCCTTGCGTATCAAGGCCTCATCTGCAGCTCCTCGTGACTCTGCCCCGCCTGCTGCTTTACCTGCGACCACTGATGCCACTGCAGTAGTTGCAAAGCCCAAGCCAACCAAGAAAAAAGATTCGACAAAGACCAAGTCGGGCAAGGCAGCTCCATCGCCACCATCCGGCAGGCGGGATATCACCGACGAAGTGCGGAATCTTATCGCCAGCGTCTCGGGCATTCCAGCCGAGGAGATGGAGCTCGACGCAGATATGGCCGACTTTGGTATTGACTCGTTGATGGGCATGGAGTTGGCACGGGAGGTCGAAAAAGCTTTCAAGTGCACGCTAGACGAGGTTGAGCAGATGGAAGCAACGACTGTGCACAAGTTCGTCTTGTGTGTAGGACATGCGATATTTGGGGCTGATGCAGATGTGCCTCTCGCTGAATCTACCGGCGACGACGATGATGACGAAGATTCCTCTGATGAGGGGTCGGAATCTTCGTCGTTGGTCATTGTCGAGACCGACTATGACTCTGCTACCACCACGTGGTCCCAATCGGAGCCCAGTCTTGTAAAGACGCCAGCTCCCAGCCAGACGTCGCTTCCTGCGAAACATCTACAACCGACGAGCGTGACGACAGCACAGGCGTTGCCCCCAGCACATAGGAACCTAACCTTGTCACCATCGGACGTTCTTGAATCTTTTGGCGAGGTGAAGATGGAGACCGACGATCTCTTACGCGAGTACCAGATCGATGACACTGAAAAGATTATTCTGGCGGGCAGTAACCGACTCTGTGCTGCATTGGTGGTCGAGGCCTTTGACGAGCTAGGCTCTCCGCTCCGCACCGCAGCTGCGGGACAGCTACTTGATCGCGTGCCTTATTTGCCCCAGCATGACCGCCTGATACAGTGCTTGTACGATTTCCTTGAGCGTGACGCCCGCCTCATCGACATTGACGTCGCCAGTGGGCAGCTGACACGAACCTATGTTGCCGCTCCTTCCAAGACAAGCCATGCCATTTTGCAAGAGCTTATAGCCCGGCACCCCGATTTCAACGTACCAAATCGTCTCACCTTCTATGCTGGCAAGCAGTTGGCGGGTGTTCTGAGTGGCAAGACGGATGGAATCAAAGTTCTCTTTGGCAGTCCTGAAGGAAGGGAGCTGACAGCAGCCATGTACTGCGAGCATATATTTAATCGTATGAACTACGGCCAGATGCGCGACGTCATTAAAGGCATTTCTGAGCGCGCTGGTCCACATGCATCAGGAGCGCCGCTCAAGATACTCGAGATAGGTGCTGGCACAGGAGGGACTACGATCGTCTTGGCTCCCTTCTTACAATCACTCAACATTCCGATCGAGTACAAAAAAAGATAAATAAATTATAATAATAATAATTTTATTATTATTTATAGAAATCGATTTAATATATTATTAATTTTTAGAGTTTTATTAAATTTTTATTAAAAGATAATCTATAATATCTCTCTCTATATAAGAATATTATTTATTTACTTTAAAAGATAATATGTTATTTTAATAATATTAATTAATTCTATCTAAGATAATTAAAGAAAAATTATTATTTATAATATTATTATTTTATTCTTAAATATAGTTATTAGATTCTTATCTAGCTTTTTTAAAAAAGATTTTTTTTTAAATTTATATTATTATTATTTATTTATTTTATTAAACTCTATACTCTCTTTAGTAATTATAAAATTTTAAAAACTTTATTTCTAAGTTAATAATTTTAACTTTCTATATAATCTTATTTTTAAGTTTTTATATTTTACTTTACTTTTTTTTTAATATTATAATTCGCTTAATATTTATTTATTAATATTTTTATTTTTTTAATAATAATAAGTTTAGACTTATAAGTTAAATTTATAAAAAGTAATTAATTTTTAAATCTAATTTCGAGATTAAATTCGACTCTCGAAGAGTAAAAATAATTTAATTTAAGATTTACTTAGAATTATAAGATCGAATTTTATAAATTTTAAATTATTAAAAAGTATAAAATAAGTTCTATAATTAATTAAGATAATATTAAAATTTTAATATTAAAAAGAGAAATTATATTAATAATAAGTTTTTAAAGAGTTAATTAACTTTAAGTTAATTTAAATTTAATTAATAAGAAGTTAATCTTAATATCTATTATAGTATTTTTATATTTATTATATTTATTATTCTTTTTATAATTTATAGAATTTTAGAATTTTAGAATTTTTAGCGAGAGAGATTAATAGATTTAAATCGAGAACGAAGTAGAATAATTTCGAATTTTATTAGAATTATTACTACTCGACTATTTAAGTTTATATTAAAGAGTATTTTTAATAGAGTAAATAAGATTTTAATAAGTAATATTTAAATTTCTTATCTTTAAATACTTATAAGACTAAATTTTATAATTCTTTTTTTATTTAAACGCGTAAAATACGCTTTATAACTTAAAAAGAAATTTAAAAAAATTTAATAGAAAAAGAGAAATTAGTATATATAATAGAATAAGATAGAGCTAAGCTTGAAAATCTTAAATTTATATATGTAGCCAATTATAAATTCGAGGTTATTACGTCTTTTAACTAGATCGACTAAATTATCGCGAATAAATAAATTAGCGTCCGCAATTATTAAAATCTCCTCCTCCCGCGTCTCTCTTATTAAAAAAATAGATATATATTATTAATATATAGAATAACTTTTTTATTTTCTATTAAATTTTAAAGACTTTTTTTTAAATTATAGAATAAAATGTGAGCTTTTAGATAAAAAAAGAATTTCTAAATTTAGTTTTATAATTATTAAAGCGTAAGGAATTTAAATATCGCTTATTAAAGTTCGCTTATCAAAGATCGCTTATTAAATTTACTCGACTGTTGTCATAGTAAGCTATCGTGGTTGTATGGATATATGATTTTGCCTACCTTCGTATCTGCTAAGGAGATATTTTGATAAGAATCTTAGCTTAGTATTATAAGTAATTACTTCTTAATAGAAGAATAACTATCTTTACTATATACTATTTATTATACTTATATTTCTATATTACTCTTATAATATAGTAATAATATTATTATTTAATATTAATTAACTATTAAATAATCTAAAAGCTTCTTTATTATTATTTATTTATTTAATAATATTTTATTACTTAATTCTTTATAGCTATTTTACTATTTAAATCTTTTATTAATACTCTTTTATTTATTAATTAAAAAATCTTTACTATCTTATTAATCTAATAAGTAATTTTAATCTAATACAATATCTTCTTAATATTAATATTATTTATATTTATATTAATTAAAAGATAATTATATTAATCTTTTAAATTAATAACTTTATTAAAATAGTATATTTATATTTTAATCTATTAAAATCTTCGATAATATCTATAATTTAATATTTTATTATTTATATTCTTAAGTCTCTAGAGCTATTAAGATTTTTATTTATATTATAAAATAATAAAGTAAAAATTTAATTTAATTTTCTAAAATTTAAATTATTAATATTATAATTACTAGATTAAATTATTAATAAATCTTTTTTTATAAGATAATTAAAGATTTTAATAATTTTACTATATAGCTAGTAGAGCTATTAAAATCTTCTTTAATTAATATTATCTTATTAAATTTATTTTTATTAAACTCTCTCTTATTAATTATATAAGAATTTTTAAATTTTATTTAAATAAGAAGTCTTATACTAATAAGCTTATTTAATAAATATTCTTTTTTTATATCTAAGATCTCTATAGAGATTATAATTTATAATAATATTATAACTTTTAATTTTTCTTTTAATTATTAATAACTTTAATAAAATATTAATAATATTATTTAAAAAACTATAATCTAAATATTATAGAATTTATAAATATTATTTAATTTTATAAACTTTATAGAATAACTAAAGTTATAAGATTTATTTAAAAAGCTATTTATCTTATTAAGTATTTTCGAATAATAAAATCTATTAAATCTTAGTTATTTCGATCTCTATCTCGATAAATCTTATAAAAAAAGCGAGATTATTATAATTAATAAAGATATCTACTTTTATAACATTATTTTTTTTATAAAACGATTATAAGATATAATTATTATAAAAAACTTTTTTATAATTAAAGTTAATTTTAATATAATATTAAGAGATATAGCGTTATTATAATATATTATTAAATTATTAAATTTTAAAAAGCTTAATCTATAGATAGATAATAATATTAAGAAATAATATAAGATACTATTAAAATAATTTAAGAAATTAATTAAAATAATACTTACTTATTTTACTACTAAGAAGTATACTCTAATAAATATATATAATAGAAAAAAGCCTTCGGGCTATATATAAATAATTATTTATTATATAAAGTCTATTAATATAGATAATATCGAAAATTAATTAATATTTATTTATTAAGATATTATAGTATCTTAGACTTATATATTTTTATAAATCTACTATCTATTATAATATCGATTTCTTTATTTATTTAAATACTTAAATTAAAGAAAAATATATAATTTAAGATATTTAGATTATTTTATTAAAGATTTTAATAAAGTTAATTACTATAATAATAATATAATAATTAAATCTTTTAATAAGATCTTTAATAAGATTAATTAAATACTAATTATTAAGATTAGTAGAATTATAAAAATTAATTATTTAACTTTTTTTAATTTTAATTTTATTTATAATAGTTTTTTAGTTATTAAAATAAATTTTATAATAGAGAATAATACGCTTATAATAATTAATAGTATAATTATTAATTAAATTAGTAATACGCTTCGTAAAGTAATTATTCGCTTATTATATCGTTATATCTTTAAATTATTAA